GAAGGAAGGAAGGAAGGAAGGAAGGAAGGAAGGAAGGAAGGAAAGAAAGAAGGAAAGAGAGAAAGAAGAAAAAGAAAAACTGCCAGATTATCGACTGAGAGGAAAATCTGGGAATTAAGGACCAAAAGTAAGCCTGGTCCTCCTGCTACACAGCGTGGACTTTCCGCGGGTGTGGGCAGCTTGTTTATTCTTCTTCCCACACACACTAGGTTTGCAAGGCGGGCGTTTATGGAAATGTTTATATGCTTCTGAAGATGTCATTTACTAACCTTTTAAAACACTTTATAAGCTTCTCTCTGAAATTGCTCAAGGAGGATTGACTGGTATGAACACACCTCACTCAGGACAGGGAACACTGACAAGATGCTAAAAGCAGCTTGAATGGGGTCTATGGGGGGCTGCTCTACATGGCCCCTCCTGGGAGCAGAGGGCCAGAGCAGCTACTGGGTACAGCTCCAGCCACCCCAGCAGTATCTCCTCACTACTGCCCTCCACTCCCCTCCCCTTCCAGCTGATGATAGGCTCTCATATCTCCAGCAGTATGGACATTTGAGGCCCAACGTCCTTATTGTGAGGGGCTGTCTTTAACGTTCTAAGCTGTTTAGCAGAATTCTTGGATACTACCATAAGATACTAGTAACATCCTTCTCTAGACTGTCATAGCTAAAAATATCTCCCAACATTTGTCAAATGCTCCTTTTGAGAACCACTGGGCTCTTAATACAGAGACCCTAGCTGGACCTCCTCTTAGTGCCCCTCCTTTGTTGTCTTGGACAATTAGTGTGGAATCTGGCTGCCACTGTTGGGTGGATTCAGCCAAGTCCTTAACACACCAAACCTCAGTTGACCTCATTTGTGGCACAGTGTTTATCCTGCAAAGCAGACCCTGATGGTTGGTTGCCCCTTACCTGATGGTTGGTTGCCCCTTACCAAATACTCAGATTATTACTTTTCCCCTCTGAATCCCTCCCTGTTCCAAAGCTGTTTATAGGTTTCTCTTGGGTGTCCACTGTTTTGAGTGTCTAGCACTCTTAGGCTGTATACGCCAAAAGACCACCTTGGGCCAGAGTCCAGGCTGTTGTCTCCAGTGCTGTGGCAGAGATTCTAACTTCTCTTATGGCGGAATTACAAGCTGGTCAAGAGAGAAGGTCTTTTAGCTATCTTCAGTCTCTAGCCTTTATCCATGCTGTACATGACAGAACCAACGTCTCAGGAGGGCAGGTAGAGGGGAGCTCATGGAAGCAAGTTCTCCAGACTCTCATCCCAGAAGCTAAGACCATGCAATGCAGGACCTATGACGTCCAAGAAGATCAAATGCTTGGTCTCCATCAAAGGAGAGAATCCAGCAGTCACAGCTGCTCATTTCAGCAGGATGGCACGAGGCAGAACCCCACTCCTGGTCGTCCAGTTCTGGAGAACATCTAGCTGTTCCATGTCAACTATTAACCAGATTTAATTCAAAAATAGGATCCTGTTCTGAAACCATTCTTTCTATTATTAGTCTAAAGTGCCCTGGACTGACTAAGGGTCAGAAGTTCTGATCTCCAGCTCTGCCCTAGACTGTACTCTGTACACAGAAGGACCCAAATGACACAAGCTTTGAGTCATTCCTAATGTGGACATTATAAAGTGAGAAGCCCACGATCTCCTGATATTTGCACAAATTGCCTGTGACTCATCCACCCTCTAACCTGATCCTACTCATGCCCCTTCTCAGTTACTACTGATCAATAGGAAAAAGCAGAGTTATGGAGGCTTAAGATCGATATACCTTAAGAATTGTAGTGTTGAATGATTGTATGAAACACAATGTGATTGAAGCAAAGTGTGAAACGCAATGTACATAAAATTTTTATGCAAACCAAGATAATATTAAATTTTAAAAAAGAAAAAGAATTATGGTGTTGGTGAAAAGTAATGCATCTTCTGGGTGGGAAGAGAGGGGTGAGGACAGGTAGGGATGAAATCACAGAGTTGCACTATTTGGTGGTGGAGGGAGGGGGTAAAGGAAATGGGAAAGATCCGGTGGGGACCTGAAAAGACAGGGTAATTGTGGGCATGGTCCAATGATGATTAATTTTATAAAACATAATGAATGAGAATGATTGTATGAAACACAAAGTAGGTGAAGAATAGTGTGAAACACAATGTACACAACTCTGTAAGCAATCCAATATAAAATAAAATTTTAAAACACACACACACACACACACACAAAGTAAGACATCCCCCATGGACTGTCAAAAGAACTAACAAGTCTGTCTTGGAGGGTGTGTGACCAGGGCACTTCTTAGAGTCAAGGATAGTGGAACTTCATCACACATACTTTGGGGATGCTGTCAGGATGAGGGCAGACCTTTGAAAAAGGCATCATGCAGGGAAAGGTGGAGGGTCTGAAAAGAGGAGGAAGACCCTCAACAAGGTGACTGGCACCATGACTTTAACAATGGGCTTGAGCAGGGCAGAAACTGTGAAGATGGTGCTGGAGAGGGAAGGTTAAGAATCTTATTCACAGGGTTGCTGTGAGTCGTAGTTGGCGAAACCTAATAACAACAATAAAGATATACAGGGTTCAACAGCCAAAGCAAGGGATTTGGCCAAACTTGGATTTAAGCTACTCTAACCCTTCTAAGCTTCAAATTTCCCAATACTCATACTCATTGCCGTCAAGTCAGAACCGACTCATAGCTGACCCTTTTCTGAATCTGTAAGTTTCCCTGGAGGAACTTGCCTGTCTTTCTCGCAAGGTGGCTGACTGATTCAAAGTGCTGGAGAGGCACCACCTCTAAGCTGGCAGTACAACTCAATGAACTACACCACCTCCACTTCCTAAAACTTTCCAGTGGAGGAATGGAAATCACCGTGTTCCAATCACAGGATTATGATAATTTAATTACAGTGTAGTTTGAGCTCTCATCTAATACTGTTGGAGTTTTTTTTAATACCTTTTTTGAGATACAAAGCATTTCTCCTAGTTCGATGAAATGCATATTCCAAAGTCTTACCTGAGTGCCCAAGAAAAGACATCTCTTTCAAGAGAAAATGATAGGACTGTGTCCACAGTGACACTGGAACCCACACAGATCTCCATGCCTGCACGCCGTGACCATCTTGATGTTCAAGACTCTCTCTGGTCTCTGGCATCTATTCTTAAAGT